TAACTGACTGAGCCACCCAGGTGCCCCCACATTGGTAATTTTAAAGCCCACCAGGTAATTCCAGTGTGCAGCCAGGTTTGAGAACCAGAGGGCTAAAGGAGAAGTTTAATTTTATTCTATCTCTATCTAAAGGTAAATTCAGTAATCATAATTTCCAAAGGCCCTGGTCTGTTAGTACTTTGCAGGTGTGGAAGATGTTGGAGTTGTTGGAAGGATACTTGTTAATAACAGTAACAATTAATGAAACTCCTTAAGTGCCAAATAAAATCCATATAGCTTGAAAGTTAATGCAATTTCCAAAGGTGCTTGATAAACAAGAAACAGTCGAGGCACATGGAGAATCTGGCTTTCTGGGAGCAAATAAAGCCAAGATTTAAATGTGAAACACATATGTGCCCCTGGGCCTGAAAACAAGCCACAAAGTTTCCAGTTGTGGTGAAGGTTCCTAACAACAGAAGTGAGTTGTGGTACAATGTTATTTAAACTGGAAAGTTTAGAGAAGATTGATTTGTAGAGGAGTTGTAGATGAGAAGACAAGTGCATTGGGTAGGTGGGACAAGCTATTTTTCTATGACTCAGAAGATTCTGAGGAGAGCAGAATTAGCTGATAGTTCTAATTATCTGTGTACACAGAACAAAACCAAATAAACCCTAACAAAATGAAAATTGATATTTAATCAAGAAGGTAGAATGTACCTTATTAAATTAACCTGCTTTGGTACTTAAGATAATTAGTTATTTGTGGTTTTAAATGTCCTTATAAAAGCATTCATTTATGGTGGCGTGGACTTTTATTTGCTTCTTTCTTAGGAGACATCAGGCTTTCAGTAGAACTCTATCAAAGATTCTGATTCTACACGTGTGTGTGTATGTGTGTGTGGTTTGTTTTTTTAACTTTGTATCTTGAAATAATTATAGATTCATAGGAAGTTACAAAAAATGTGCAGGGAAGTTCTCATGCATCCTTAACAAAGTCTGCCCCTATGGTGACATCTATAAATCAGAGATGTCTCAAAACTAAGAAATTGACATTGGACTACTCCACAGAGCTTATTCAGATTTTTAGTTTTAAGAGCACTCATGTGTGTGTGTGTGTGTCTGGTTCTGTGCAATGTTATCATGCATAGCTTCATGTAACACCACTGTGGTCAAGATACTGTGCTCCACGTGGGGTTTGAAGTACTGTTAAGGGGTGTGGAATGAATCACTGCTTGCAGTCCCATTACCAGCTTGAGTTCAGGACTTCGTATGTTGGGGGACTGCTGCTTTGTGGAGGTAGGTAGCTTAGTTTTTGCAACAGAAAGTGACTTTTCTTTTTTTATGTAATCATCATTAAAGGTGTATTTATCAAGGACTGTGTTTTAAGGAGGTAAACCAACACTTTATGTGAAGGAAGTGAAATGATAAATTTATACCCCCAAATGTAAAAATCTGTTACTGGTTTGGGGGGCAAAGCCACCAATTCTGGCACAACAGCAATGGACTGAATGCTAGAAAGTTCCTTCTCTGCCAAGCTTTAGAACATCTGAGACTTGCTCAATAAATGGTGCATTTGTGTAGTTCCTGAAACAGAAGACTGCCCCCTGGAGAAATGCCCTGATGTGTTTGCAGTGAACAGGTATGATTCTGTAATAAAGAAATGGAAAGAGTCAATAGCAGCTTCTCAGCACTGTCAATATATTAAACTCCGCCTCACTTATGTTTTGTAGGTAACTGCTGTCTCCAAAGCTTAAGGATACATAATCCTATGTACCATTTACATGGCATGAGGATCTTAATTGTCTTTGCACCTAGTATATCAAAACTCAGGTGTTTAGGAATGTAAATTCCGTGTCATTAAACTTTTTGTTCCCAGGATTTGCTGATAAATCTACAGTCTAGCAAAACTACTTATATGTGTGCTTTGTTCTAATACCTGTACCCCAGTCTTTCTTGGAAACTCCTATTTCTGACACCATTTTTAGCAAGAGTTCTATAGGAGAGAAGAGTTCTAGAGTTGGTTGGTTGGAAAATTCTGGTTGGTCCAGTAAGCTCGGCTCTGATGAAGTCATGGGGTAGGTGATGAGAATTAAAGTGTCTAAACATCAAAATAGTAATCTTGGGCAAAAGCAGCTTTAGGGTATTTATAAAGAATACATGCCACCAGGCATAATTGTGGGGTTTTTGTTAAGGATTTAATATAGTAAGATTCAGCAGAGCATCAAATTGGTAATCCCAATGTCTCATAACACTGGATTTGAAAAAGTCAATTTATTTAGGAACAGAGTAGCCAAAAAACATTAAGAGTCAAATATTTTGAAAAAGACAATCACCAACCCACATTCATGAAAAAGCAGAGGAGGAAGATCATCAACATTAATGACTATAAAATGAAAAAAAAAAAAAACCACAACAGAAAAGGGGCCAGATAATTTGCAATAAAGAAGCAAGCTTACCTTTATGGAAATATGATCCTGAACATAGATTTTAAACGTTAGGAGAGGGAAAGCATGGTTGTGTCAGTATATGCTCCCCCTACAAACCCATCCAACTTTTTAAGGAGTGGAACACCTGCAAAGATGTTTTGAACAACTGTACAGGAGTTAATCAAGAAAATATTCAAGCCACACAGCCTATTCAGTGGACATTGATACAGCCCCCAAAAACAGTTGTTAAAGATGGCAAATTGAATAATTTTAGAAATACTGCATTAGTCTCTAAGCTTATAGTTAAGAGGGTGTCAGACTGCAATGTATCAGCCTATAAAAGACAAGCCTTTAGTAGCCAACCAGCCAATAGCAATAGTAGTTGTGTCAGGTGCCAAGTAGACACATCAGCATGAGATTGTTACAGAGTAAATGAGGGAATGCATACAGACTTTATAGCACAAGGCTTTTTTAGCTGGATTTTCTTTCCCTTTCAGAAAACATTAACATCTCAGTTTAAAGCTTTGCTTTATGCTGTCACCACAGGTATTTGTGCATTTTACTGCATGGTTATAATAAAAACAAAATTCAGAATATGTCTTATATCCATAATGTCATACATCAGTGCCGTTCTTAAGCTAAGAATTCTTTTTCCACTGTAAAGCAGTGCAAATTCCTAGCTTTGCTAACAGTTCAGGACTGCTAAGTAATAATACAGCTAACATCATACTGTGCACTAGGTATGGGCAGGAGAATTTCACGTGTATTATTTTACCTAAACCTTTGAACAGTACTGTGAGGTAGGTACTATTTTATTATCTCTATTTTACAGATGGGAAAGCTGAGGCCAAGAGAGTAACTTGCAGAGATCCATAGCTGGTAGGTACTTGAGCCTGGTTTCATCCGGGATGAAACCAGGCTCCAGGGCTCATGCACTTAACTGAAGTACTTCAGTACTTCTTAAGAAAGGTATTGGTGGAGAGGAAAGTGAAGGGGTTGGCGGGGGCCGGGGGTGGGGGGGCGGCGACAGATCAGATCCCTGAGGATAAGGTGGGGAAAAGGTTAGGGTAGACAGCATTCTCGCCCAAAGCTAACTTTCCAGGCCAGAAGTGGTTATCAAGGAATAGGAGTCTGAGCCACAGAAATCAGTAGATGGAGGGGAGGGACGGTTCAAGGGGAGACTAGGACCCGACGTGTGTTTGAGGGGTGACTGGAGAATTTGTAAATAACAAGACAAGTCTGTGAGCGTGAAGGGGTGAGATTGTGAGAAACTGAGCCACCCGGAGACTCTTGGTGAAGGAGGAGGCAGGTTCCTCGGAGGGTGGGGAGATGTGTGCGCGGGTAGGGCTCACGGTGGGTGTCCTCTTTCTGTTTTCATCGTGTCTGCCTGCGCTCAGTGTTTCCTCAGACATTCCCTTCTTCGGGAAGCTAACATCTGGGGCTTGGGGGTTGTGGTGGTGGTGGTGTTTTTATGACTGAGCACGCAACTCCTGCATACTTAGATTTGTACAGTCTGGGAGAGCTCCTTATTGGTCGATAGGAACTGTGCACCCCTGAAAAATACTCCTCATGAATTATCTTTTTCCACAGGTGAGCACTATACATATTTTTTAATTGTAAGTACCATCTAACTCAGAGATACAGCATGTATTATTAATACTCTGAAATAGGTCATCAGAGCTGATTCTTTACAGTGTGTGTTATATATACTTAAACCTGACCAAGAATATGTTTATACTTTCATGAGAAGTAGTATATTTGCTCTATTTTCACAAGCTTATGTTCTCCCCAAAGCATCAAGCCCGGAAGCAATTATTAAGAATTGGAGAGCACTCCTTGAATTTAAATGTGCCTAATTTAATCATCAGCCTGATAGAACTGTAACTTATTTTAGCCAGCCTGTTCTTTATCTCTGTCCTACCCATCACTCTTTCATTATTGTTTTTCTATTTTCTCAGTCCTGAGAAAATGATCTTGCATTATGTGACATCTATGCAAATGCCTAATAGTGTGTATAAAAAACACCAAAGGGTTTTTTAAATGTCTCTTTTGTTTTGAATGCATATATCATGAAACTTTTGATCTGCTTTACAGAGCAGAGTCAAAACTATAAAGAAAAGAGCTAGAATCAAAGATTATGAAAATCTAGAATATATAGGACTTTAGGAAACTTGTTACCATAATTTTAGCTAATTTTATAAGGATTTTAAAAGAAATATTTTCTTAAAGTACATATAAAGTTATGCCGTAGAAGTCTTATTTTAAATTATTTTTTTCTGATGATTCTGTATTTTGTTACTAAAAACAAAGACGGGTTTTTTTTGTTTTTTTAAAAGGTAAATTGTACTTATTTATTTGACAGAGACACAGCGAGAGAGGGAACACAAGCAGGGGGAGTGGGAGAGGGAGAAGCAGGCTTCCCGCTGAGCAGGGAGCCCGATGCGGGGCTCAATCCCAGGACCCTGGCTGGGATCATGACCCGAGCCAAAGGCAGACACTTAACGACTGAGCCACCCAAGGCGCCCCAACAGGGTTTTTTTTTTTTAGAGTGGACCATGGACCTCCATAAAGTGAAGGGGCTGAGGTGCAGAATCTTATTAAAGAGGGCTTTGTTCCCTCAGCCCTGTATGCTTTGCCCTTCCTTGGATGGAAAGGAAACAGTTCAGGCACCGTGCATATGCCCAGGAAGTGCCTTTGTCCTCACTGTGCAAATCTGGTTTGGAGCTGTGTATACTATATGAAGCCATGTTTGCAATAGGGTTCCTAGTGACCTTTTTCCTGCATGCAATAACCAACTAACTACCTGCTTTTAGTCACTAATTGGTCATTTACTCCCTAATAGTGCCATCATTATAAACCACAGTCCAGGTCCTTCTGTCTACCATCGAAGGATTAGACAATTATGCAGTGTTTGACCAGACTTTGAAAATGTCTAATTTGGGAGAAAATAGTGCCCACATATACCTTAATGGAAAGAAAGGCCAGATCTTTGGTAATGTTATGACAACTAAACTTAACAACCAGCTCAGAATGTGTTCCCAACAGAGAAATACTTGGTAGAAACAAAAATATAAAAAATTATAATTCTTGTGTTGGCAGAGCATGTATTTTTATACATTCTTCTGTGTTTAGGTCAGTGGTTAGAGAACACTTCCTGGAAGGACTGTAGTACACAAATGTTTTCAATTTGAGCTTGTACATTTCATCTAATTGGTCCCTGGGACAAGGTTCACTGCCCTGGAGGTGGCTTAGCTTAATCTTTCAAACACACGCTAATGAATTTCAGGTTTGGGACAGAAAATGGCTGCTCTGTATCAGACAATCATGTGAACTTGGAATTGTTTCCCAGGAATATCTTCAAGAGCTATGTAATACCATGCTGGATAGTGGGTTCTTCTGCCATCTCCAACCATAGACAACTGCCCTTGCTCAGGATACTCAGTGCTCGCCTACTTCTAAACTTAGGTTTGGAGATTGCTTCATTTTTGAAGGGAACATTGTGGGAGAAAATATGGCAAAGATCATCTGAGTGCAACCGGATGTATTGAAGGATGTTTACAAATAACCTTAAAGCAACCTGAAAAGATTGGTTTGGGCTGAATCCATCTGTTTTGGTTTTCTTCTCAGCTGTTTGAAGTAGGAGAAAATTCAAAAGAAAGTCATTTTTCATACCTTTTTATATTGATACATCTAGCAATAATTTAGGGATTTTTATTGCCTCTGATCCAGCCCACCCAAAAAGTCAAGGAAGTGGGGGTAGTTGAATATAGAAACTTGTTTTATGTAGATGGGGAAGAAGTAAGCTAATGAAGTCACAGACATCCCTTAAATCAGAATGACAGGCCCTGAGCTCTGTGTGGCCCCCTACCCCAGCCTGCACACCTTTGCAGTGCTTACAAGACGTGGCCCTGACCAGTGTAGAAGACAGATGCAGTTACTCAGCTTGGCACAGGTCTTGCCTATACGCTCAGAGTAAGTCACAATTTGTGTTGGGCCAGTAGGGGGAAAAAATGTTGATTTCATGAATTCCTTAATCTGAAAGATTGACCATGGCCTATGGTCTTCTTATGGACTGGGACAGTTTCTCTGTGTGTGATGCTGCGTTCCTCCCAGTTACTCCATTCATCATCTGTGAGACTCTGCACAGGCTGTGCAAGTGTAGTGTCTGGACCTCAGTTCCCTCCTTCCTAACTTCAGCACGGTGGGCCAGATAATTCCCTGAGGCCCCTTCCAGCTTCCAAGTCTCTGAAGTTCAGTTTCTTCTGCACATAAGAGGTTGGGGCATCAATTGCACTGGTCTTCTAGAGCCTAGTTGGGTTGTCCCGCTGATAAAATCCCAGCAGATGAATGAATGACCAGCAACACTCAAGTCTGGCAGAAAGTTTGCTTTGGGCATGCTGGCATGATCAGTGGAAATCCTGGGGGATGAAGCATTCCTGAGTACTGGCAGGAGGTGTCAGATGACAGTGCCCCATCAGGGCTGGATGCTTCCTGGGGACGGTGGCCTGTTTGAGATCACGAAAAGCAGCATGAGGTGGTCCCACATGTAGTCTGGCATCAGAAGGGCTTAGGTTCCTCCATGTTCCTGACCATCCCTGCTGACCCAAATGCCTTAGCCTCATACTCTGGCATGTTACCTCACAGTTCTCAAACTTGGGTTTGGTTATTTTTCAAATGAAGAGAATATCTACTTTTGAGAGTGAAAAGGTTAAAGGTAATGTATTTGAAAGTGTCTAGCAAAGTGGAGCTCGATAAATAGGTAACGAAAACCAGCAATTTGTAAAAGAAAATAACACACACACACACACGAGATAACTTTATCTGAAAGCCAAGGGGAGAGAAAACTAACATTTGTGTAGTGAGTAACAGTTCACAGAGTACTTTAGGACAGTATCTTTTAATCCTCACAATCTGGCTTTATAGATACAGAGATGCTGGCAAGTTCCCAGGGTCACAACACCTGGAAACAGTGGAGTGGAGATTTAAGTTCTGATTCCAAACTGTTGTGTCCCTTTTATAATATACTACCAACACACCAGTATGTTTGGTTGATATGTTTTATAGTTAGGATTAAGACTCTGAGGATTCTGAAGAAGGAAATAAATGATCAGAAGTGGTAATAGTACCTATGGGGGGGGTAGTTTCTCCTTATGCCCTTTTTCTATGACTACAGCTATACTGACTGCCATTTCAGACAAACCTAGGAAACCCTGGCCAGTTGCTCCTCACTTTGTGGGATCTTAATTCTGAAACAGCTCCTGGGGATAGCTGGAAGATTTGAATATCTCTGGGATGTCACTGTCCAGTTTCGAAATAATTTTATAAATGGGTTTCTTCCAGGAAGGATCTGAGTCTTTCCCCGCGGAGACAGCCCTGAAGAACTCCTGCAACGTCAAGCTGGCAATTTCCAGGAAGCAGTCTGGGACCTGCATTCCCAAAGAGACCCAAGAGAAAGAAAAGACATGAGGCCAAGGAGCCCTGGCGCCGTGCAGACCTCGATGTTGCCTGCTCCTTGGGTAGTGGGCTGATAAAAGCATCTCTACTCTCCTGGCTCTCAATTTCTGCCCTAAGAATCCCCTGCTCTCTCATCAAATACAAACCTTAAAATGATGGTACCCATGAGACAGTCCTGGGAAAAAGCATATTAGGGACACTCCCTTTGTAGGAAAAGCTGAATCTACTAATGGTGATGTTTTTAGTAAGTGGGAAACTCTGACTCCGATTGAAATTAAACTTGTGGTTCGAAGGAGGTCTTTAGTATTCTTTTCCTTAGTGCCTAATGTGGAAAGGCAGGCCCCCAAGTTTACAACTGTTGTACCTCATCCCACCATCTTTTGGGGTTGGATCCAAAGACTTGGAAACATTCCTGCTTCCAGAGCCAAGCACGAGGTGGAAGGGGGACTCAAGAATATGTTCCAGGTCCTCACTCAGACTGGCACCATAAGTGATGGGGAGTCCCACAGGTCCTCCAAATCCAGCCTGGCCCACGGCTTGCCACCACTGCATGCCACATGACCACCCCACGTGGACAGATGTGGCAGCCCTGCCCCATCCACATGCCCTGACCCCACGAGCCTCAGAAAGGAAGCTCAGGTTTCCAAACATATTCTGACAGAACATCTGGTAGATGCCAACAGTTCTTCCCTTTCTTGGAGGCATCTGGGTCAAGTGAGAAAGGCAAGGAGAGGGAAGTGTAGTCAGTGACCTGCAGAACGGGATGCCAGCCCAGCAGAGCTGTCAGCTGCACACAAGGAAATGTGTGTCTGTATTAGGAGTTCTCACCCATGACACCTAGGCCACTTGCTCACACTTTACTGATGCTTTACCTCTAAGGTGCCACCAGTGTGCCTTCACAGAGATCCCGGAAGGACGGAGAAGCTTGAGTACTGTTTATTCAGTATTTCCAGAAAGAAAGGATCTGAGGTGACTTGCCATGAAAAGCCCACAGATAAAACTGTTCAAGTGAGAATAAAGAACCAAACGATGAACAGAAATCATAAAACGGAGGCCAAGTCTAGGTGCTACAACAGCCAGGCATTTAGTTGTGTGCCTCCTGGCACTAAGGGGAAAAGGTCAACAAGCTATGGAATTTTCCTCTTCCTTGCAGAGTATTGGATCTAAAATGGCACATCTGGTCAACTTCTGTTTCACTTTCAGAATGCAGACTGGCTGTATATTCATCTTGTGACATCCACCTGTTGCCTCAGAGAAGGCGTTGAGTCTTGTCTTTGTGGGTGATACAGACATTGGCCCCAGGCTGCCCTGGCTCTCAGCAACTCAAGGACAGACACAGAAGGGGGTCTTTTCTAAAACTCAATCACGAAGGGAAGGCACTCATCAGACCTCACGGGACCCAAGTACATGGTCTTACCTCAAAATCATTTCCCTTGTTATAGTGCATATTGAGAGCTCGGAAAAGTTCTGAGTCACGGAATACCACCAGCATCTTGGGATTTGTGACACCATCTGAAATTGCTTGCCGGGCAAATTTCTCCATTTGGATGTAATAAAACTCACGAAAGTTGCTGAACCACTTGATCATCTGGGAGGTTATGCAGCGGTTGAACTGTACAAACAATAGGGTCCATCAGGTCAGACGTCTGCCATGAGGTGTTAAGAGTCAGAACTGTCAGCTTCCAGTTCAACATAGGGCTTAATAAGGATGGCTTCAACCACCATTAAAAAGGGCTTTCTTTTTTGGGGGGGGGGGTAGGCAGGGCAGAGGGAGAGAGAGAATCTTAAGCAGGCTCCACGCCCAGCATGGAGCCTGACCCCGGTCTCAATCTCACAACCCTGAGATCATGACCTGAGCTAAAATCAAGAGTCGGATGCTTAACTGACTGAGCCACATAGGTGCCCCAAAAAGGGCTTTCTTTAAAAAAGCCACACCTGTTTTCCTAGCCTATTCACTTATACACAGAAAAATCTCAATTAGCTATGATGTCTATTAGAAAATATTGTTTTTGATATACTGGATTTATGACTTTTTTTTTAACCCATGAAATGCCTTCCATGGTGTCTAGTATGACTTTGGGAGGGTCTGGAGTCAAGGTCAGATGCTTCTGCTGCACCTGGGCAGATTACGTGACAGCCCCAGAGCCTTCTGCCAGGTCAAGGGCAAAAGGAAGGGCTAAGGGTGTAGAGTAGAGAGCAGTTTACTGCCACCCTGGAGTTGCAAAATGAATTGAAATCTGAGTGTGGTGCAGGGGTCAGTTGAGCAACTGAATATGAGGGAAAGATCTGGAAAACACAAAGGTGTAGATACAAAGTATTAGCCACCCTATCCCAACACCCAGGGTAGAGGAGGCCATCAGAAACTTTACAAGGAACAGGCAAGGTCTGGTTCCAATCATCAGAGCTTGACTTTCCTTTTTTTTTTTTTTTTTAAGTGTTTATTTATTTGACAGAGACACAGCGAGACAGGGAACACAAGCAGCAGGGAGCGGGAGAGGGAGAAGCAGGCCTCCTGCTGAGCAAGAAGCCCGATGTGGGGCTCGATCCCAGGACCCCGGGATCACGACCTGAGCTAAAGGCAGACGCCTAACGACTGAGCCACCCAGGCGCCCCGAGAGCTTGACTTTCTTTATTGTCACGCTTGATCTCTATGCACCTTCGGTCAGTTTTGAAGTACAGCACTTTGAATATAAACATGACACTGTCCGACTCTTTATATATTCTTTCTTTTTCATGGTCTCCCCAGCAGAGACAAAACACTAGGCCAAAGGTGCCGTTTACTAATGTTACCCTCTCCCTGCCACCTTCCCTCCCCATGTGTTTCTGGGTATATCTACAGCTCAAAAGCTTAAAATTCAGATACCCAGCCTTCGTGGCTCAAAGTTATTCATGCAGAGTCTCAGCCCAGAACTGGAAATTGTACCGATTCCATCAGCAACACGAAGCGGACCTGACATGCACATATGATGACCTAGGACTTGCCTCTCACTGGCCAAAACCCACTGCCTCTTGGGAGTTTTGCAGATGCTTTCAGAGGTGAAGAATGACTTTACCTGGACATCGGGGAAGTAAGCCTTCAGGAGGTTGGAGCTGGGGTAGCGTGTGAAGAAAAACATCAGTTTGGCCTTCTTCAAGTGACCAGGATTTAGGCCCTCCTGGATTTATCTCAGTGTCAAGGAAAATTAACACCAGTTTATCAAATAATTGTATCAATTTATCCAAAGAATGAATTGTCCTGTTCCTTACGGTTTCTATTTTATTTTTTCTAGCTGAATGGTGTATTAATTCCATTTTTCTGTCTCTAGCAAGTGTGATCAGATAAGCTTTTTCTTAGGGTGCCTGGCTGGCTCAGTCAGTAGAACATGTGACTCTTGATCTTGAGGTCTTGAGTTCAAGACCCCCAGTGGGCCTAGAGAGCTTACTGAAAAAACTAAAAAAAAAAAAAAAGCTTTTTCCAGATGCTGAATACCATATGTGTACAGTAAATTTTCAGAATTTAAAAAACATTTTGATGTGCAAATGTTCTATGGCATATATGACATCAAATACGGTTTGTTGTACTTTGTGCACTTTCAGAATAGAATGGGAAGAGATGGCAGGTCTGTCCCAGATTTCAAAACCCCTTCCTCTTCTCTGCCTCAGTTTCCCCATCTGTAAAATGAGACGAGCCGACCAGATGGTCCCCATTCTGTTCTCGTAGCTCCCTTGGCAGCGTTCAAGCCAACAAGCCCCTAACCAGCCTGAGTACCAGATCAGTCTGCTTGGGCGTCTCGGTTGTGCCTGCTCCCCGCGTGCCTGGCAGAACCCTCCCTCACCCCTCCCAGCTCAGCTCGGACACCCCTCCTCTGTGAACTACTTCCTTGCTGAATTAGGCCTTCCTTACCCTGGGCTATCAAGGCTCTTTGTACAAACCTCTGTTGTAGCAATGACCTTACTGGAAATTTTACTGCATGTTTGTCTCCCCATTTAGACTGTGAGCTCCTTGAGGGCAAGGACCTTATCTTTTCATCTTTGTGTTCCACGTGTCTAGCCCAGTGCTAGGAACATAGTAGGTGCTCAATAAATGATTGTTGGCTGAAAGGATGAATGAGTGATTAGACGGTCGGCCTGAATCTATGATATTCCAACCCATACTTCACCTGAAAACAGACCACTTCTCCTGTAACAGGAGCAGGGAGCTGTGGTGTGACTGCCTAGCAGCAGCGTGGGAGGGAAATCAAGATTCTTACATGAGAGCGCATAGCATCCCAGGGACAGTCCTGGGGCTGGGTGGGAAGCCTTACACAGAGTAGCCTTGGAGTTCAGGCCAGAGCGCTGTACCTTGAGGACAATTAGGACTTCTCAGTAGCACGTAGCACTTTAGCCAAAGGAGACCACGCCCAGTGATTACAGTTATAACCGACCCTGGCACCTAGGCTGCTACCCAGAGCACCCCTGCCCTTGCCTCCTTGGGCCCACTTCTTACCCTTCTTAAAGGTTCACAAATGCTGTGGAAAGACGACTGGATTTCGGAGTTCAAAGACCCAGTTTCAGACACTGATTTTGCCACATATTAGGGGCAAGCCGCTTACCTTCTCTGGGCCTCATTTCTAAAATGTAAGCGTAGTAGTTAAAGCTTGTGCTTGGCAGTCAGGTCCTGGGTTTGAATCCTGGCTCCGCATGTGTCTGTCTTGTGACTTTTGGCAAATTAGTTTTCTTCTCTGTCCTTGCCTCTCAGATACCTGATCTAGAGTGGAGGCTTGAAGACGGTGAGGTCACACAGGCCCACAACCCCTTCCCTGAAACGCTGGGCCAAAGGGGCTTCAGATTTCAGAATTTGTTATTTTATAATGGCCACATGGTGCATCTACCATATGTTAGTTAATGGCCAGAGCAGGGGCTGTGGGAGCAGTCCGTAATCCAATACACTCATATTTCCACAGCCAAGTGGGCGGCTATTTACACCAAGTGGGATAGTCGATAAATAGCCTCCAATCAGGGTAGGTCAGGTTTTGCCACCGAAAACGTTACCAGCAGCCTTCGAGGGAAGAAATCACAAGGATTTTCAGAGCTCTTGAGTCTCAGAATTGTGGCTAAGAGGTGGTGGACCGGTACACGGGAACTGGGGCTTCCCTGCCGGCCACAGAGAAGGTACGCCTCGCAGCAGGTGCTGCCCCCTACTGTGTGGTCACCGCACCTGCTCCGCCTGTTGGCCCGATGTCGTATGAATGTGAACGTGCTTTTACGCTTCTTAGTAGCTTGCTCTTAGCGGCGCTCATTGCCCACAGGAACACATCTCTAATGCTGGAGTGTAGGCAACAGGAATGAGGGACTAGCTGGGGAACCAGGATGCTGCCTGGCGGCCCCAAATCATTCCACGCAGCCAGCCCTGTGGGTGGGCCCCCAGACCTCCCAAAGCTCTCTGAGTCCAGTCCTCATTTCACGGAGCAGGGCTACGCACACAGCAGGTGCCCGAGAAATATCAGCACGCTCCTGCCAAAGGAAGTATAGCGGAGAACCTTTGGGGACTGAGTCCCTTAGGTTCTTCCACCATTGCCCAACTTTAACCAAGTGGCGTCTTACCAAAGGTCCAGACAGGTAGCCTTTGTCACACAGGGCGCTTTCCTGACGATCTGTCTCTACACCTCCAAGATTTCCTACTGCCTGAGAAGCAGTAGTGGCCCCTGAGGTGTTCTTGGCCTTGGCTTTATAGCGGCGGCCTGCCTGCCGGCCTGGGCAGCACGCGGCCGTGCCCGAGCTTTAGGGGTGTTTCCAACACCTGTGACCAGAAGAGGGCGCTCGTGGCCTTTAGGACACAAGGGCCCACCCCGTCCTGCCGCCCTTCATACAGCTTCCCAAAGGACACCACTGTTCACCCCCTGGATAGGCAGCTCCACAGACGCACTGACCTCTGGAGACTCAGTTATAGGCTGCCCATGAGAAGGAGCAGCGTGAGCTCCGCTCGCTAAAAAAGCAACATCCAAACTAATGTCAGGAACTTTAGTCTTGCAAGGATGCTTGTTGGAAGAGGATCTTTGGTCATGTGCCTTTGAGGCTGCAGACCTTCTCCCCTTAGAGCTTCACATAGGACATCAGCATGTTAAAGGCTCTGAGAAGTCTCCCGGTCAAACTACCCAGTAGTAGAAATAACCAGTATTTAATAACCAGTATTTAAATAACCAGTAGAAATAATCTAGTATTTACCCAAGCTGCTTTTTTCCTAACTTAATGAACATTAATATCCTGAGGGAGAGTTACTCTGGGCAACATTGTTTGAGAGAGTGGGGTCTGCCTGAGGACTGCAGTAAATTCCAGATCACTACAGACCTGCCTGGGCCCCACGGCCTTCCCCATGGGGGCCTCCCCCTTCAGATTCCCAGCGCCCAAGCTCTAGTCCTCTCAGCTGCAGCTTAGAAGCTGTTCCTCAGACTAAAGGCTTCTTACCCTTCCCAGATGCCTCTTGGGTCTAGTCCCTCAGGAAAGCATCCTCTCTTCCATCTGCCTCCGAAGTTTCTGGTCCCTCATGGCTTCCCCGTGAATTACACGGACAACCTAGGAGGATCCAGAGGCTTTTCTGCCTGCGGAGCCAAGAGACTGGGGAGCCATGCTTCAGATGAGCTCATTCCTTTGACCCTCTCTGCCTAGGTATACAGGCCGCTGACAACCAAGTTATGGGGCTTTTCCTTCCATTGGGCACTTATCATATTTTGGAAGCCCCTTTGAGTTTACAAACAAACAAAACTCTTCCAGACCCAAAGGAAAGAGTCAGTAGTGGTAGAATCCAGTGTGTCACAGAAGAAGGTAAATGAACCTTCCCAGCAGCCTTAAATCCCAGGATGGGGCCACCACCTTGTCAGAACCTCGTAACTATGAGCCACAGGGAAGCAGGGCCTGGGGGCAACGTTAAGAAGTCCATGGGGAAAGCAAAGTGATTGAATGCCCTGGAGTTAGTTGTCCCCCCTCCCCTCCCCTTCCAGACTTCCCGTTTCTCTGAGCTGCGGCGGTGAGAACTTCAGTTACCAGTAAAGGATATGTGGACTGAAGGAAAGGACCGCACATCGGGGGCGGCCTGCAGGCCACCCTGTTCCATCTTCACTGAGGGGAGAAGGGGCAGTCTTTCCAAACGGGGGGGAGGGAAGGGCAAGACATGCTGCTGCTGGCTCAGGACCGATGGTCGCAGTTGGACGGCTCCCCACGGTCGCAGAGCACACTCTGAGGAGGGGTGACTTTGGGAAGAGGAGTCGTGGGGAAGGGTGCTGCTCCAGTGACCACTGGGTCCGTGGCCCAGTAGCTGGCTAAGAATCTGATTTTCCTGGATGTGGGAAGGCGCAGTCAAAGGACAGTTTGCTGGGGGACCCTGACAGGGTCTGGGGATCATCCTCAGAGAGGCAGGGTACCTAGGAGGATCCAGAGACTTGGCCAGTGATAGGGTTTGCAAGGGCACCGCAGTCTGTGGCTGGGCCCTCCTGGGCAAGGTGGCCAAAGGAAATCGGTCTTTACAGGCACCTCTCTCAGGAGGTGAGGGCTCACTTCTCCCCTCTGGCACAAGCCCCTGGAAGCTTCTGCCCAGCTGAGTCAGGTGGCCTGGTGGATCCAATAGTACCTTTTGTAATACTGAGTCCACAGCTTGGGACATTGCCCCGGTCAATTCTTTCCTCAGAATCTCCAGCAAAGCCCGCGCTCCACAAGGAAGGAACCTGGACTCCTCAGACTGGTAGCCCGCCTCAGAAGCTCTGTGGTTTTCCTCCCCGGAGAGGTCCCCACGGGAACCCTGGAAGTGGTCACTCTCCATAGCCCAGGGCCTAGATCCATAGCCCTTCCTCTGCTTTACACTCAGAGGGCCCTTGTCTGTCTCGGAGCCTCCTGGGTCCTGGGCTGTGTCCCTGGGCTCAGCAGCCTGCAGGATGTGCTTTTGCAAATGTCTTAGCCGTTGCTTCAGCTGATGGAGCTGTTCCCTTACCCGAGGGCCCCCTTTCCTGCTGCCATGGTCTCCAGCTGGGCCTGGCTTCAGGGGGCCTTGCTGCATGGGAAGGCTCTGCTTCCTCTTCCGCTCCCGGGCCTTCTCTGGGCAACATGCACCATCCCTGGCTCGGGCATTGCCTGGCACCAGAGCCAGAGCGTGAGGAGTAAGGCACATGCCTTGGACGATGGTCTCCACCCTGGCCCTCTTTGCTTGGATGTTCTCATCCCAAAACCAGTCAGGGTCGGCAAAGCTGGAGCTTGGGCCTAGGCTCCAGGCAAAGGGGGAGTCTCTGCCCTTCTCTCGAGGGGCTGGGCTTCTCTCACCTTCCACACAGGGTTCTGCCAGGTGGGAGCAAGCCCGGGACAGAGGAGGAAGCAAGCCAGGGTTTGGATCCATCTCAGAGTTGCGGCTCCCTGAGGGAATCCCTTCTCCGAACGTCCTCAGTCAGCTGGAGGGGTACCCAGAGCGAGCTGGGGGTTCCTCCTCTGCCCTCAGAAGGATCAGAAGCAGCTGTCAAGGATTCAGGCTCCGTGATGCCAGAGCTTACAAACCTGAGCAGACTCTGGAATTAGAGACCGGAAGAAAACAATAGGATATGTGATTTTGAGCAGTGCTTTTCAAACCTGAATGTGCAAACAAATCACCTAGAGATCTTATTACAATGCAGATCAGATTCGGGGTGGGTCTGGGATAGGGCAGATACTGTATCTCCAACCAGCTCCCCGGTGATGCTGTGCTGCTGGTTGGGATCCTACTATAAGAACATTCCTGAGGCGCCTGGGTGGCTCAGCCAGTTGAGCGTCTGCCTTTGGCTCAGGTCGTAGTACCAGGGTCCTGGGATCAAGCCCCACGTCGGGCTCCCTGCTCAGCTGGGAGCCTGCTTCTCCCTCTCCCTCTGTCTGCCGCTCCCCCTGCTTGCTCTCTCTCTCTCTCTCTCTCTCTCTGTCAAATAAATAAATAAATAAATCTTAAAAAAAAAAACAAAACATTCCTAAGAGTGATCCTTCAGGGAGAAATTCTCTTGCTAGGGCATAACAACAGAATAATAAAAATAAATGTAATAGCAGCAGCTAACTACACAACTGCCATTGGGCCAAGAACTTTACATCCATGCCTAATTTAATTCTCATAACAAGTCCCTGAGAATGTTGTCATTCTCATTTAAGAGATAAGGAAATAGGCTCAGAGAAGTTAGGTAACCTCCCTAAGTTCATACAACTTGTAAGTGACAGGCTGGAGTCCAAACAAGGTTTATCTGATTCAGAGTAACTTTCTTAGTGTCTACGCCACAACCCCCACCCCCAGGCACTTGTTAAAAATAGCAAATTCAGGAGCCCCCACCAATCCCGCACAATCAGAATCCCTCCATACTGGGACAGGGAACCTGCATTTGAAACCAGCAAACCAGAGTTTGAGAACCAGCTGTCCTGCTCCTGGAAGAATCAGATTATGCATTCATTTTCACGTTCAACAACTATTTATTAAGCACCTCCTATGCATCCGGCCTTTGTCTGAGCACTTGGAGAGACAGTGGTGAATCAGAGCAGCAGAATCCTGCTCTCATGGAGCTGGCTGTCTCCCAGGGGAAGAGGGAATGAACACGTCTATTTTCAGGTCGTGATACCTGTTATGAAGGAGAAGTGTGATAAGGGGTTGGAAGGTGGGATGAGGGTGTGGGAAGAAGCCAGGGAGCTATTTTGGGAAAGCCTGCCTAAAGCTATTTTTTTCCCCACAGAGTATCGAAATACACTGTACTTTAACCAGGAGGCTTCAGATAGCAAGTTTAAGGCACTTGGAGCTTACAAAACGTTTGTACATGCCACCTCATTGCACCTGGCGCCAAACTTGAGAATCAGTGTAATTCTCCCATTTTACAGAGGAAACCGAGGCTCAGTGAGGCTGAGAGTGGCTCTCAGTTACTAAGATCTCAAATCCTTTGACACAACCACACTTTAGCGGCCACCCTGGAGATAGAAAGACCCGTATAAGAGACTGACTTCAGGGCACCTTGGTGGTGCAGTCGTTTAATTGTCTGACTCTTGGTTTTGGCTCAAGTCCTGATCTCATGAGATTGAGCCCTGCGTTGGGCTCTACACTCAGTGCAGCGTCTGCTTAAGGCTTTCTCTCCTTCTCCCTCTGCCCCTCCCCTCTGTTCTCTCTCTCAAATCAATAAATAAACCTTAAAAAAAAAAAGAAAAAGAGACTGACTTCTCTGTCAAGTGGATGTCTCCTTTCCTACAAGAGGTAAATGAATTTCTTTCCTCCAGAAATTTCCACTCTCCTTTGCTTTGCTTGCACAAATGCTGGCAGAACAGAGTCTGCTTGTTTTCTTCCTACTCTCGATCTAAAGTTTACTTGGAGTTCTCTACCTTGGGCAAACCTTGGCTTTTCAGGAGCCTCTGGGCTCTTGTGTGGACGTAGCCACATCTCTACCTGGAGCTGCCAGGCGACCAGCAGAGACACCTGACAAGCTCCCCGGGAGCAATGCTGCTCCCAGTGGCAAGGCAGAGAGTGGGAGGTGGTCCTGCTGAGCCATCACGAGGCAAATGCCACTGAAAGCGAGGCTTGTGGGTCAGAATACGTAGAAGGTTTTTGCTTTGAGTAAGACCTTTGTAAATTACTAAGATAAAATAGATGATTTGCCAAATTAATGTACATTTAAAAATGTATCGCTAAATTCATTCCAACAGTCTGGATTGTTTATCACCTCGTGAAGAGAGACACGTTTCTTAACTTCCTGTGATCGTTTGACAATGAATATATAGTATTTGTATAATACGAAAAAGTGATTTTTACATCAGCTCTTACCATCTGCTAGGCATATCTGGGTCATTAAGCACACATTGGCTGCTTCCTAACTAATAATGATCACTGAACTGGCAGAATTGATATTTTAACCAAGAGAGACTCGCAGTAATACAAACTGTACATATTTTCAGGTAAGTACCTTCCAAAAAGAAGAGGGGATTGGTTATGATTATTCTAACTGCTGAGTGAACATCTCCTGCTTAAATTCAACAATTTCAAGCCCAAACTCTATAGTTGCCCCTCTGCCTCACCTTGCATACTACTGATCTTGTTTAAGCTAGAAGCTGGGAAGTCTCCTTGACTCTCCCCAACTCCTCATCCTCAACAGTGATTTGGTTACCATGCCTGGTCATTTATGGCAAAAAATTGCTCCAGACTGCATCCCACTGTGCCTTTCCCACTTTCTTGATTCAGGGTCTCAACTTTTTACCTAGAGAATTCCAATACCTCATGACTGGTCCCCCATCCTCTAGCCTCTCCTCATTCTGGTTCTTCTACATTCATTCATTCATTCAACAAATGTGGATCGAGTGCTGACAACAGACAAAATCCTCTGCCCACGTGGAGCTAACATTCATGCAAAGGGAGCCAGATGTCATAACATACTAAGTAAGTATGGAAGGCCATTGTAATAGGGCCTTGTTGGCCACTGTGAAGATGTTGGCCTTCACTCTGACATGAAGGAGGACCCAATGGAAGTTTATAAGTAATATGACCTGACTCAGTTCGGAAAGGATCATTTCTTACTGGGTGGGGAATAGACTAGGGGTGGGGAGCAAGGGTTGAAACAGCCTTAGAATACTCTAGGCCTCTAGGCATCTAGACAGTGACCCAGAGGATAATAATGTAGGTGAGGTGTCTCAGACTAGGATAGCAGCAATGCAAGTGGCAAGTACATCAGATCCTGGTGTATGTTGAACCGGGAGCCCACGGAATTTGCTAATAGACTGGATGTGGAGCACAGAGAGAAGTAAAGTATCACCGATGATGACTCCAAAGCATTTGGCCTGAGCGACGCGGAGGATGAGATTGCATGAGCCGACGGGGCACCTGGGTGGCTCAGTCGGTTAAGCGACTGCCTTCGGCTCAGGTCATGATCCTGGAGTCCCCGGATCGAGTCCCGCGTCGGGCTCCCTGCTCAGCGGGGAGCCTGCTTCTCCCTCTAACCCTCCCCCCTCTCACGTACTCGCTCTCTCTCATTCTCACTCTCTCAAAATAAATAAATCTTTAAAAAAAAAAAAAAGAAAGAAAGAAATTGCATGAGCTGAGTCCAAAGGAGTGGCTTTGGGGGCTCCGTTTTGCACGTGTTGAAATTGAGATAATTATGAGACATCTAAATGAAGATGTTGAGAAAGCAGTTGGATAAATAAGCCTGGGACTCGGTGAAGAGATCTGGGCTAAAAATAAAAAGTCGATGGCCGTTCACAGGCAGACGGATGAGCTCACCAAGGAATGAATGTACACGGAGGAGGAGGGCGCCAAGGTCTGAGTCCTGGGACAATAGCGCCGCAAAGGGGGCTGGGGCTAAGAGGGGAATGAGTCAAGGGGGAGGAGGAGCGGTCAGTGAGGTAGGGAGAAACCTAGGGGTGTGGGAGTTCCTGAGAGCCAAGTGAAGAAGGTGTTTATAGGAGCAGGGACAGCTCAAGTCACAAAAGGATTGTTAGTGACATAGAGGCATTCGAGATCTTGATCAGAGAAGGTTTGGTGGCGTGCAGGGAGAAAAAGCCTGGTCACAACGGATTTAAGGCAAAGGACAAGAGGAGGGATTAGTGACATTAACTATGACAACTCTTTCCAGGAGTTTTGCAGAGAGGAGAGAAACGGGACAGTGGCTGGGGGGAGAAATGGGGTCAAGGCAGAAGAAATAACAGCATATTTGTAGGCTAATTGTGATGCCACAGAAAGATGGTCTGTTACGGTAGACCAGAGTGGGAGAAGTTCTGGAGCCCGTCCTTGGGCAGGAGGCTGGGGGCGAGATGTCATGCATGGGGAGAGATGGACTTTAGAGAGGAGGACCCTCGGGTCGTCCATGGTAGTGGGGGAGGCAGCGTACACGGACAGGGGCTGTCAGCTGGGTAGCTGCGGTGATGGTGAGAGCCAGTGGAAACTCCTTTTTCATTGTCTCCATTCCGTCAGCAACACTGGCATCGGCCTTAATTTTCTAAAACATGGGCCCGCTTATGCCCGTTCATAGAATCAGTCCTTGCTAGCTGCCTGTTGGATATAAAGTACAGATGTCTCAGCTCCACTTGCCTAAGCATTGCAACTGAGCTGTCCTGGGCTCTGTGTTCCCTGAGCACGCCAAACTCCTTCATGACTCCAGGTCTTGGCACTTACTATCCCATCTGCCCGAAGGCCCTGCTCTCACTTTTCTACCTGGCAAACCTCTACTCCCTTTCCAAAATCCAACTGAAATGTCACCTCCTCTCTGAAGTAATCAATGTCTCTTCTCCTTTACTTTTTTAAAAGATTTTATTTATTTATTTGAGAAAGATGACAGAGGAAGAGTGGGAGAGAGAAGCAGACTCCCCACTGAGGTGGGAGCCCGATGCGATGTGGGGTTCAATCCCAGGACCCCAAGATCACGA